AAATAAAGAAGTATAGCAAACAATTATTTCTTCTAGTTATGACCTTTGTACATGTTTGCTGCTTGCCGTAGGTTGCAAAGTCTCATCAAATTTCACATGTGGAGGATGTCTTACCTTACTGCTTGGAATATAGCAAGAAAGAAAGAGTTTGTTGTGCACATACTTCACAGAAGCTGAGAAAATTCCTAGGGGGACATTCTGAGCTTTTGGTTGGTTATACACACATCATTTCACAAAGTAGGTGTATGCAAACATGTATTTTCAAACACTGAAAACATGGGTGGGGCCCACCTTGGTTGATTGAATAAATATATTAATATCCACATAATAGAAAAGATAGAAGTTTCGTATTTTACATTATAGCTTGTAAATATTGGTAATTTGAGTATCTCATTCATAAGAAACTACAGACATTGTATTTGGACATCCCAAACATCTAATTTGAATCAATGCTGCATTCAACATACCACATGACACATATGATATTTAGGATTTTTTTTTATATTTACTTTAAATTAAAAAATTAACTAATGTATAATAGTAAAACTTGAATTATAATCTACAATTTGATTCCAAACTTATTGAGATACATTCATAAAATAGTAGTTCAATAAAATTTTGAATGCAAGTCAATAAACACGATGACATGGCCTTTGACCTGTGACAGTAGGGTTAATAGGTTTCAATATCCAAGTCTTAGCTGTATTGCATTTCTCAGAAAACTCAAAATTGTTATAAATCTTAGAATAAGGATTTTCAATTGCTTTGCCAAACTTGATTTTCAAATATAATGTCCCAAGGAAACAAACTTTTAAAAAGCTATTTACTAGATAAAAAAATTTGTATTTTAATAATAATATATTTTATAATATTCTACTTGTAATTTAAACACAAGTCTGTTACTTTGAAGTCACATCATTAAAGAATTTTTGGTTATCAGGAAAAACAACCTTAGATTTCTCACCTGATGGGGCTAGTGGACACTTTGCTAGCAAGACTTTTCGTGCTATTACAGACAAAGCAGAATTCACAACCTTTTCTTCCACATCTTTGTGAGGGCACTGTCGAAGGTAAACAACTGCTTTTTCAATCTCATGGAACAACACATTATTCCACAAGTCCAAAAGCCAGCTAGAGTTAAAATATGAATAGAAGAAATTAAGTCACTGATGTACTGAACACCATATTAATACAAAAATTTAAGCCACAGATAAAGGTATACAAATGAAGAATGATACATTGACACTGAAATGTAAAATATATCAAATGCTGTTTGTCCTGTGTGAGAAATGTGAAATTTTCTCTAGGCATTCCCTCTTCTCTACTTTATTCACCACCCCTCCAAATATACACCTGGAAAAAAGTTAAGCACCCCCAAATATTTTTCAGGATTGCTTATTGAAAATAAGGTTTAATTTTC